CATTTAAATATTTAGAAACCATATAAATTTAATAAAATAGTACACCAAAAATTACTAGAAATTAATACATTTCCATCATAGAATGATTAAACCACTTGCAAAATTCATTACACATGTTATTTAATAAATGTCATAATGCCTCCAACAAGGATGAGTCTAAATACAATTGTCAACTTTACTGTCATAACTAGTACGAAAGAGACAATATAGGGTTAAGATTTGAAATAAATCTTTAAACATACTTTTAAAGATAATGATATAATCATTCTCATATATAATAAAGTTGACTCATGAACCTAATAAACGAACTATGTTTAATTCAAGTTTAACTCATTTAGTTAACAAACTTAGTGTTTTCTCTCATATTCAGCTCATTTGATTCATGAACCTAGTTCAACGATTTAATTGTCGAATCAAGTTCTGAACTATTTTCGAGTTTGTTCGATTCATTGTCAACCTTATGCATAACATATGTTCTCTTATGCTCACCTTTTAGTTAATTGTTTAACTAAGTTAAAGTTAAAGAAATTTACTCTTAACGTTGGATAAGTTCATGACTCAAATTTGTGGGCTTTATGCCCCCATGGTTTTGATTGGGGTATTATGCCTATCAGAAAAATATATTACTTTCTCTGTTGAAGTAGATCATAAGAAATTCTATTTTGTAATCGTCTATGTTATCACTTCTTATGTATAAGGAACAAACTTGTGGTTACAGCTAAATACTTTCCACCAGAACAATCCTAACCCATAATGCAACATAAAGTGTTTTAATGCAGTGTTAAAAGCTCATGAAAATTTTGGTTGTTGCATTCCTAACAAAAAATATACTGAGGAGTTTCTGAGTTGGGAAAATACTAATATCATAACTTGTTTGGAAACAATTGAACTTTTTTCACTTGGAAGAATGGTGGAAAAGGAGAGACTCATGTTGTCATTAGATTAGACAGATCAATAAGCAACCAACAATGAATTGATGATTGAAATGCCACTATGCACACTAACCAAAAACCACTCTCATTATCACCATTTCTTCCTCACCTTTGATATGAACATAACTGATTTTTCCAGCTCATCCAAGTTTCAAAAGATGTGGATTTTGAACAATACTTGTAGACGAGTTACAGCTGAACATTGGAAAATTAAAATACTTGGATGTCGCATCTATGTTTTAGCCACAAAGCTGAAGTCAATCAAGTCTTTGCTTAATGTGCATGCCAATGTCAAGAAAGCTACACATGATTTGGATATAATTCAACGTCTCATTAATGACTCATGCTATAATGTGATTCTTAACTTGGAGAAGAAGAAATATCAAAGAGCGTTGACCATCATTGCTCCCAAAATCATATCAGAACGCCAAATGTGTTTTATTAGAGACAAACATATATATACTTGAATGTATTTGTATAAAATTATAGGAAATTAACTTGATAGACAAGTTATCTTTTGGAGGTAACATGACATTGAAGTTGATATTAAGAAAGCTTTTGGCACCCTTTGTTGACATTTTCTTCTCAAAATTCTAAGAAAATTTGATTTTAACTTTATTTTTTGCAACTAAATTCTCACAATCCTCAAATCAACAAAGTTATCTATTCTAATCAATGGAAAAGTTGTAAGTTTTTAAATTGTTCTATAGATGTGAGATATGGAGACTCTATATCACTTCTTCTCCTTTGAACTATAGATGAAGATCTCAATAGAGAAATATCTAAGTTGGTGGAGCAAGGAAGAATTAACTGCATAATTTTATGTAATACTATCATTAATAGGAAACTTTCGTTGTTGATGATCTCATGATTTTTTTGTAAAGGCAATTGGCGAAATTCAATAAGTATCCATAATCTTCTTCAATATTATGGATAAAACTCAAGACAACATATCAATCCTCCCAAGGATAAGATAATAAGAGGCAGAGTCATTGACCATGCCCCCTTTTGACTACTTTGGAGTACCTACATCTTTAAAGGCAAGCTCAAATTCTTACATATTCGAGCCATCTCTAACAAGGAAACAACTAAGTCATCTACCTAAAAAAGGAGTATTCTTTTCAGAATAGGTCATGTTCATCTGGTTAGATTAGTCATTCACAGAATATGAATTTATAACTTCAAAATTTACAAGTGTCTAGTTCCCTTTTTGAATAGATTAGACAAATCCATTAGAAACTTTGTATGGATAGAAAATATTGACACGAGAAAACATGTCGCTCTTTCCTGGGAAAGAACTTGCACTTTTATCTCTACAAGTGGACTTGGTCTGTGGAAAATCAAGATCAATAATAAAGCAGGATGTCTCACTCTTGGATGAAAAATGATCACAACCAATAAACTATAGATCACTACCCTTATAATCATATAATTCAAGAACAAACAACCTATTAAACATCACTTATCTTCCTTAATATGAATTAGTTTTAAGAATTGCTTTGAAATGATATTTAAGATCATATCATGTGGAAATAAGAAATGGAAAAGACATTTGTTTTTGGTACGATAACTAGTTAGGTTATAGAATAAGAGAATCCCTTGTCCTTCCATGTAAACTTAAGTACCTTTTTAAACTACTACTATCTAAGAACTAATTCAAGGTAGTATTTGAAACATTCTTGAGAAACTTACCACCTTTACACCCAAGATAACATATGATATTCTCAAAATTACTATCCCTCTTTAGGAAACTAATATAAACACTATAATGTGGAAAATCTTAAGCAATGTAAATCTTGTATTAAAAAATGTTTATAAATTCCATAGTAATTATCATGCAGAACTTAGTTGGGTCAAAACCATAATGTAATTCTCACATATCATAATACTAGAAGGATATGAGTTACATTGGTTTCTAGATGCTTCATTTGCACTCATGAATTAGAAAATCCTCAATATCTCTTCGTAAATTGTAGCCACACATTGCAATTATGGATACTGTTGAAAATTTTGTTATGCAGGTATCTTGATCGAACTACCTTTGTGAGGCTATACAACATTTTCAATCAAGGTTGGAGTCTACAACTCAAGAATTTTGTTATTAAAATCATTTCTTTAATCATTAGGAAAACTTGACACACGAGAAATCGACTAAGGTTCAATGACGGTCAGATAAACTTTGTCTAGAAACTCAATGACATTTTTTAAACTCATAACACATTTACCCCTTTCAAAGGACATATGTACTCATGATGCATGAATTCACTATCATGAAAAAACCTGTTATCAAATGTTAGCCCCTTTATATGTTGCATTATGTAAATAAATTAGAAGTGTCCCTAATCTCATTAGGTTAAACATAACACATATGATTCTCTTGAGGGAATCATGAATTTGCAACATATGGATGAGTGTTTTTATGATTCGTTGGGCACCTACTTAAGTTCATTCTCAACAAATATAGGTATCACAACCTTTTTCAAGTTGAACTTATATGTACCATTCTAACTATAAAGCATGCTTCTAGTAGATGATTGAAACTAACTTTTGTTTGAAAGTGATTCTATACTTACTATACAAGCATTCACTCGTACTAGAATTGTCCCTTAGAAAGTTTCTATCCAAAAGAAAATATTATCTTCATGACATTAGGTCCTTCCATTTCAACGTGTCTCACATTTATAGGGAAAATAATAATTATGTTAATCATAACAAATGTAAATTTTTACATTCAAGATGATATGATTTGGTGGAAATTCATCTCCGATAGTATGGATGATGATTTCTTAAGGGATAAATTTAATTTAACTAATTTTTATTTGGATAATGCTAACTTGTGCCATAAGGGCACAAGTTTACAAAAACCATAAATAAAATATCTGTATTGAAAAAAACAATAAAATTATTATTTTTAAAATTGTATTAAATATATTACACAATTTTCAAGAATTTTTTACTATATTTATTTTTTAGCTTGTGCCTTTGAGGCATAAGTTAACATTACCCTTTTTATTTTTTTAATTTTTTATGATGGGTTATGTTTTTGCCCCGTCTTTCTTTTGCATTTTTCTTTCATTTATGTAATATTTATTTATAAAAAACAATTATATCTATATTATAAATATTTATTATCATATAATTTTTTCTTAACATGTATAAAAAATTTGATGGATCTTAAAAATAAGAAATGAGGAGTAATTTTTTATTAACCATAAATATTGTTGGATTGTCTTATAAATATAAGTGTGTTTGTTTTGAAAATTAAAACTATAACTTTGAAAGTATTATTCTCATTGATATTATTATTAGAAATTTTATTCTTATACATGTGTTTGAAGAATAATACTTTTTAAAGAATATTAAACGTATTTAATTTAAAATTTTAAAATAATAAATAAAAAAATAAAAAAATAGTAGGTGAAAAACTACGGGCGGTTATTTTTTATTTTTATGAGAATATCAAATTCGCATCTTACTATATAAAGTAAAAAAACTGTATTAATTAAATTCTCAGAATTAAAAAATATCCAAAAATAACTTAAATAAACCCAAAAAAAATTAAAACCAAATCCTAAAAATAAGTTTAGAATCTTTGAAACACTCCCCATAGATAGAGTATTAGCAACTTTTATTTTGACCAAAAATAAACTGGCTAAAAATTAAAATTTAACTAAAGCAATAATCCCCACCTAACAATCCTCAAATATCACGCGTAAGGAAAAAAAAATCGCTTTTTCATTTTCTCTTCCAAACGCAGCTGTGGATAAGCCACGCATAAATAGCCAAACACATCCTTAATACTTTCCCGAATTTTCTACCCTACATTTTTTTTCTTTCAATTTCCACTACGACAAAATTCAGTTAATTCAAAACAAAAAGCATAATTGTCCGTAAGAAGTTTCGCATATTCTGTTCCAAAAAATATTCTAAGTTATTTCCAAAACTAATAAAGTCTCTCAAACACGTCGCGTTTCAAAACATATAAAAAAACTTCATATTTCGCAATCACATTATTCATCGATCTTGCTCTCCCACCAGAGAGCTCGATCTGCAACACCATAAAACCAAATGCCGGACATCGAACAGCCACCGTCAACGGCGGAAGCCACCACCGCGCTGTTCGGAAAATACGAACTCGGTAAGCTCCTGGGATGCGGCGCGTTTGCGAAAGTGTACCACGCGCGGAACATAGAAAACGGACAGAGCGTGGCTGTGAAAGTTATCAACAAGAAGAAAATTAACGCTATAGGACTCGCCGGAAACGTGAAACGAGAAATTTCAATCATGAGTCGTCTCCGTCACCCTAACATCGTTAGGCTTCACGAAGTTCTCGCCACCAAAACGAAAATCTACTTTGTCATGGAGTTCGCTAAAGGCGGTGAACTCTTCGCGAAAATCTCTAGTAGAGGCCGTTTCAGCGAAGATCTATCGCGTCGCCTTTTTCAACAACTCATCTCAGCCGTCGGTTACTGCCACAACCGTAACATCTTCCACCGTGACCTGAAACCCGAAAATCTCTTACTCGATGATAAGGTATTTTTTAATAACTATAAGTTATAATCATTGTATTGTTCTTCAATTAATTTAAGCTGAATTTAAGTTGATCTAACTAATCAATTTAATTATCTGTTAATAATGATCTCAGTTTGTTATTCTGTTAGGGTTTCTGTAACTAATTACTCTGTTTATGGATTTTTTAAAAGGGGAATTTGAAGGTTTCGGATTTTGGGTTAAGTGCGGTGAAAGAGCAGATTCGTGTGGACGGGATGTTACACACGCTTTGCGGAACACCTGCTTACGTGGCGCCGGAGATTTTGGCGAAGAGAGGTTACGACGGCGCGAAGGTGGATATTTGGTCTTGTGGTGTTATTCTCTTTGTTCTTGCCGCTGCTTATCTTCCATTTAACGATCCGAATTTGATGGCGATGTATAGGAAGATATACACCGGGGAATTTAAGTGTCCGCGGTGGTTTTCACCGGATCTACGGCGGTTTTTATCGCGGTTGATGGATACGAATCCAGAGACGAGGATAACTATTGATGAGATTTTGAGAGATCCTTGGTTTAGAAAAGGGTATAAGGAGGTGAAGATTTATGAAGAGGGTTTTGATTTTGGGGAGAAGGTTAATGGTGAGGAAGAGGATAGAACGGTGGAGTTGAATGCGTTTGATTTAATATCGTTTTTCTCTTCGGGGTTGAAACTATCTGGATTGATTGGTGATAGGGTGTGTGAAGGGGAGCGGTTTATGTTGAAGGAGTCACCGGGGAAGGTTGTTGAGAGGGCTGAGGCGGCGGCGAAGGCGGAGGGGCTTGTGGTGAGGAAGAAGAAAGAGTGTGGGGTGGAGATTGAGGGGCAAAATGGGGATTTGGTGATTGGGGTTGAGGTTTACCGGTTAACGGCTGAGATGGTTGTGGTTGAGGTGAAGAGGTTTGGTGGAGACGCGGTTGCTTTTGAGAATGTGTGGAGGGAAAAGTTGAGGCCCCATTTGTGTGATGCAACGACGTCGCATCAGGATGAAACTCAGGCTAACGCGGTCTCTGCTGACTCAGATATTTGAGTTGGTGGGTCCTCTCCAACTATTTTGATAAAAAAACTTCAAATTAAAAAAGTGATTTAAAGATTTTGTTGTGGCGAAAATTGTAATTTGATGGACAGGTGTTATATATGCTTCCTTATTCTTTTTATGATCAAGAAGATTATATGGTTACTCATATATACTTTAACTTCAGATGTTAAATGTATTTAGTGTAATTATGATTGTGATGTTTGTGCTTACTTAACGGTGTTCTTCGATTTGTTTGTGAAAAGTGTCGGTAAATAGATGTTTGTTGGTAGTTGTTTTGTTTTTGTTTTTGGTTTGAGAAACAATATATATTGAGACAGCAATACTATCTTCTTTTGTTTCAATTCTAGCCTTTTTTTTATGAACCCTTTAGTAGTCACTCTAGCCTTGCACTTGGCAAAATTAATTGATTCAACATCAACAAAAAAAAAATGTCAGAGGCACAAACACCTTCAGAGTTTACCATGTTGAAAAGATAAATTTCATGGTCATTGAGTTTTACCGGTGGAATTCTTGGGAATGGATTTCCTCTGGTGGGAATTCCTCATTTTTCTCGTGTGTTAAATCCACACCCTTTAAATCTTATTTTAATATTTTAATATTTAATTTATTTATAAGATCAGATTTGCTTGGACTCTCCATTGGGTGGAGAGGATCTAGTCCTAAAATTCTTATTCTTTGTAATTAAAGAATCATAAGTTTGAATCAGATTTCTTTGATTTAGTCTAATTTATTTAAGACACGTGTCCCTCATGGCTCTAAAAGATTTTACTGTTTAAATTAAAATATTGAAAATTAAGTTTTTTTTAATTCCTTCTATTTAACTAGGAGTATCGTTTTTATATTAAAACTAGCGTTCAAACGGGTATGTCCGTATCCGTTTGTCCGCTTTTTTTATTGCGCTAACGCGCAAAAATATTAATAGTGTATTTTTTTATAAATTTAATTTTATTATAAATTATTTATATTAATTTTAATATAAATTATTTATATGATAAAATATTAAGTTTTGTATTTATATATTGCTATAGATTAGTCAAAACCATAAGAAGATTTAGATAGAAGAAGAACAAAAATCTTTCTCACGATTTATTAAGCAACTAAACATAAACATTAATATGGATATTAAGTTACATATTGTTTAATAGGAAGATCAACCATAAAATCAAAATCAGAAATATCTCTCGTTTCACTGCAAAACAAATGAAGTAATTCATTAATATATTTTTTATTTGATTTTGGTTTTAATTTAAATTAGTTATCATATATATATATATATATATATATATATATATATATATATATATATATATATATATATATATATATATATATATATATATATATATATATATATATATATATATATATATATATATATATATATATATATATATATATATATATATATATATATATATATATATATATATATATATATATATATATATATATATATATATATATATATATATATATATGTTTATTAATTTAATTTTTTATTAAGTATATGGTCAATGAAATGCTTCCAGAGATTGTTGCAACAAAACTCTTTCGTTTATTGAAGCAATAATTTAAGAAATGTTTTAACATTTGATTCTCATTTCTCTGCATTATCTTGGAGGTGTGTGTAATCTTTAATATTTATTGTTCGTTTTCTATTATATTATTAGTATTGTATTAAATACAGATGAACTCATTCATAAATAAACAATTCATATATTTCTTATCTTTAAGACCAATGGGTTTAAAAAGAAAGACACTTAAAAATAATGTTTCATTGTTTTTAATAATATTCTCTAACCAAATCAATATAATTTGATATTTAGTTGCAACAACCAAATGCAAAATCAACAAAATAGATTCTAAAAAAAAGGCACATTATCTCTTCAAGAAATAATCATTGTTCCACAATTACCCTTCATCAACAAAATCATCTATCTTCTTTATCTTTATCTATAGTTATCTATAACTATATATAAAGGGGATACACCTTTTTGGTGTGGCCTATTTTTGTTCCACAATTACCCTTCATTAATGCTTAATTTCATATTTTTATTCCATATTTACCCTTTACCTTAATGCTTAATTTCTCACTTGATTTTATTTAATAATAATACTAAATAATAACTGTAACAAATAACTTTCCACTATCTCCATAGTCCTTCCTATCATTAACGTTCATACTAACTCCTCTATGCAAACTGAGTCTCTCTCCAAGCCATTTACAAACTATTTCTCTCAATTTGTCAAACTATTTGCAAATTAATCATATTCCTCTCTCCCTTTCTTTGTCAAACCGTGCATACCTCTATTATTGTAGATCAAGACTCTCAACAAACTCATTTTGATATTATTTTTGTCAGGTATTTTTTTAAAAATATAATTGAATAAATTTATCAAACATTCATCACATCTTTGTTATAGACACTTAATTATATATATTTGTTACAGACACTTGTGGTGGTTGTTCGGAACAAGAAACGTGTCAGTTTCACATATGAATTGTCCTTAAAAGTGAAAGGTGAGTATGTACTTTATTTTGTTATCTTGCTTTTCTGTTTAACTGTTTTATAATTCATATTTTGCAAATGGATATAGGCGAATGGATTATACAAGGAATAAGAAGTTGGTTGGGGGGCACATAGATGTTCCAGAGATCTCATTTGGGGAAGTGGATGACTTGCAGATACCTCTTATTAATGCATAATATAGTTCCATATATCCTTCATGTAATGTCCTCTTAAAGTCTGTAACATTCAGGGAGGTTACAAATAGAGAGTTTTAAGATGTGGTTATACTAATTGTGTATGATAGATCACTATCTAATTGTTAATTATTAATTCTTAATTATCCAAAAAAATTTATAAACAACTTCGTGTTTATACGGTTTCACTGCTAATTGTTAGTTCATAGTTATCATTATCATTTAACATAAATCATAATTATAGTCCAATAAGCTTTAAGGCTATTAACAAAAAAAGGCATATATGTTTTAAATCAAAATCCAGTGTAAGTCAAATTAACTCCAAGTTTCTGTAAAATAAAATTAGTCATAACACATCCAATAAAGCGAATGAAGCGAGTGGAATGAACATCTGTTACAAAACATAAACCAAAATTTAACATAAAACAAAAACTAATTAAACGAGGGAGAGAAGTTGTAAGTACGGTTACTGAGTTTTGGATTTTATTATTTTGTTTTGTTTGTAATTGCAATGCCACATGTTGGGTTTTCATTAGCTTTTATTTTGTTTTGAAAAAGTAAAAAAAAATTATTTAATTGAATTTTTTTATTTATAAATAAAATATAAAAAATATATGTATGTGGAACGTTCCCCAAATTTACTTTTTCTGTATTCATTTTGTAACCTTTTATTATTTTTTTATAATTATTATTGATAATAAATTAAAATTACTAATCAATTATTCATTATTGAATCAATTAAGAATAGTTTTTTTTCTTCTTTCTTCATCAAATCAATACTTAATATTTTTGGTTCTAAAATAATTAGAATTAATTGATATACTTAATATATTTAAGGTTTAATTAAAATGATAATTGAATCAATAAAAATATATTTGGTTGAAAAAGTTATAAAATCATCTTAATTATCAATTGAATTAGTTAATTTTTTTAATTTAATGTTTTATCACACTTTTAGAAAAATGGGGTGGCTCCCCACGTTTTTCCTTTTCTTTCTTCTTCTACTTTTGTTAATGCGTATAAAAATATAAACAATTTTTTTTAAATAATTTTTTTCAAAAATATATTATGTGGAAGTTAATAATAAAAAATTACGTAGAAGTTAAAAATAATAAATTATGTGGAAGTTAATAATAAGAAGTTATTAAGTAAATTATACAATAAAATAACGGTAAAAATGGTAGAAAAATAAGTCACACCAAAACAAAGTATTCTCTGTATATATTGTATAGAAACCAATTTTAAATATTGAACGGAATAGTTTATTTACTTTATTTTAAATCGCACATTTGTAACAAGGTTAAAGCTTGTGAGGGGGCCTTTGAAGATCCAAACATATGTTACAATATCTTGATATCATTTTGGAATATTTCATAGGATTTGTTTCATCTTGGAGTATCTTAGACAATTTCTTGATATTAGTTACCGTGTTTCTTTACTATTATCATGATTTGATTCTCTATTTGATTTAGATTTGAACTCTTAGCAAAATAAATAATGGTTAGTTAGCATTTAGTTTTTTGGTGTCAAATTCCATTAATCAGTCATACATCAAACAATATTCATGATTAAAAGTCATATTTGTTGGACGGTGGCTAAACTTGAGATTTATGAGTTTTTCACTAATTTTTGAACCTTATCTTTATTGATAATGGAACTGAAAATTTTCTTGAACCTATATGCAAAATAAGATTATATGAAGTGCAATATTCTATGTTCAGAGAACCAATATCAAGATCCTGGTACTTTTCTATTCCACCTGTTACAAATGTGCCAAATTAGTTAAACAGAAAAACTGTTTTCACATCCATCTGGAAAACTGTTTTCTAATCCTTTATTTTATGCTTTTAATTATAATCAATCAATTGGATCATACTTATTCTCACTATTCTTATATGGAATAAACTTTAGATGAGGGACTTTAAAGATAAATGGAACACATGGAAGGATGAACAAACAATTTCATCTATCGGCAATCTAGACAATAAGGTGCATTTACCTTTTTCGCAACATGTATGAAAAAATATGTATGTTGCATTTTCACCACTCTTTGACCAACACTTTTATCATCCTTATAAAAACAGGTCAAACGTCTAAAAGTTTACTCTGTCGGTTGAGGCTCCACAGTGATAACAGATAAAACACAACTTTGGAAAATAGTGAAAAAAGAAATAATATCTCAAAGGATGAACATGTTTTTATTTTATTCATTTAATAATATTTATCCATAGAATATTTTTGAATGAATGAATTTTACTTTTATTATTGGTTTGTGTAAATAAAACCA